ATTGTAACGTTTGATAGTTTTACATGTCTTTTTGTAGGTATTCATACGTGATTGAAGCATTAATCAATAAGGGACAAAGGCACAACTTCAAACATGTGAATTTGAGGAATAAAGATCATTCAACCGCACTAAGCCCAACTTGAAGCGCGGACCATGCTCAACCCACTTTGTTTACTTTTGATTGTGTATGATTTAGTTATTTATCCTATCCTGCTCTGATTAATAACATAAAACTTGGAGAATTTATTTATTGTTTGGTTATAGTGTCAAACCTAATTATTTCAATTTAGTCCCTTTTCTAATTACATAGATTTCACTTTAGTCCTTTTATTTATTACTTTGATTTCAATTAGGTCTCTTATCTATCAAACATACCATTTTATAGTCCCTTAGTTGATATATTTTGTTTCATTATGATTATTATGCTGCAACATGGAGTTGAATTTATACTCCTTCTTTATGTTGACATCCTCCTTTAAATTAATGAGTTAAGAGTGATGACCCAATAAATCCACTAGAGTTAGAACCTTAACAATTGCACCAGGGTATTGAATCCTCCAGTTAGCATTTCATAACACTCTATCCAATTTCTCATACACTCTTCCACCACCATGATGAATTAGGCCATGATAAGGGCCAAAATATCATTATTATTAGTATTATCTTGTGGCACTTATTAGCTTTGTTCTTTTGGTTTTTATGATAAAACTCTGACTTATGTGTAAGTAATAGTATAATTGGGGTTTCGTGTAAATATTGTAACATTTGATAGTTTTACATGTCTTTTTTGTAGGTATTCATACGTGATTGAAGCATCGATCAATAAGGGAAAAAGGCACAACTTCAAACATGTGAGTTTGAGGAATAAAGATTTGTCAACCGCATTAAGCCCAATTTGAAGCGTGAATCACGCTCAACCCACTTTGCAGCACGAATTTTGAAGATTGGCAGTAGCGAAATAAGCCTGAGCCCGCTCAGTCCGATCTACCGCACTCAGTATGCTCTAAGGCGGTTTAGTGCAATAAGTGGCACCGCGCTCAGCGTGCTCTGATGGGGTTGAGCATGATCTACGATTCTCAGCCACTATATATTCATCTGTTCAGATTTTTTAGGTTATAGTTTTGGGGATTTTTTCCTCCCAACTTCATCACCAACATTCTCATCAATCGTCCTGACACCGCAAGAGATGTTTGGGTTTTCTTCCCCTCTTCTCTTTGTATTCTCTATTTGTTGGAGTTTGTATGTAAGTTTACCTTTATTGGATGTATATTTATTGATCATGGTATTGTATACTTTCTATTTTATAAATCACTATCGATGATTGTTTACTTTATCTTGGACTTGAGTTGTTATAGACATATATGATTCAAATCCAGATTTAGGATGGACATCTATTAAATTCTAGACTCTAGAGATAGATTTAGACTTAATATTCACTATGGGTATCAGTTCTTTATGTTTTGTGTTGTTTAGTTGCGCGAGACATCACCGTTGAGACAATAATGTTGTTCTCTCAATTTTGCGTTAGACATAACCTCTGTTGTGGGTGATACACGATGATATTGGCGAGTAATTTAGGTTGTGTACAACTCATCAATATGTTTTAGTATTTGATAGGATAGATGAAATCCAAACTCGGAAGAGTTCTCTCCTCTCCAAAGAATGTATTTATTTTCTTGTTCAAAATTTACTTTTGCACTTTAAGCTTTAAACAATTTAAAACCAAGAAACGCAGAGACTATTGAACGACATTCTTTCCCTTGCACTAAACCCTGTGGAGACTATAAAACAAAACTAAAAAAACTTACTTTTGCTTGATGCTTTAACGCAACAACAAGCTATGCCCGGTAAATTTGAAACCTATGGAATGCATGTTCATCAAATTACACTCGTTAATTATGTCCTTAAATCTAAGACACCTTATGCTAGAAACCAGAGCTTAGCCTATCTTATCCGCTACCTCCGAGATATCATTGAAATCTCCGCCTAGAAACCATCCCTTAGCTGAAAATTGGGTCGCGATTTTGCTAAGTTCTTACCAAATCTCCCTCTCCCTTCTTCCATAGGGCTAGCGTACAAAATGGTCATGAACCACTCACCTTCATCCCTAAAATTCACCTTGGAATGGATAAATTGGAAGTGAGTATTACAAATTGAAATTAATATCTTCTCAGTTTTCTAAGATATCATTATGCCCACCGAAAAGCCTCACACCTTTGAACAAGTAAACCCATTAAACCCAAACTTCTTGCAATTACTCCTTAACTGCTGATGATCTGTTCTAGTTTCCACCACTATAAAGATGTCAGGACAAAACACTCTAAGATAGTTTTTACACGCACGAAGGAAATCCATATTCACTTCTCCACGGCCATTCCTCGTGAAAATTTTGTATTGATCTTGATTCATAAAAACAATTCAGCTTGTTTAACGATTACCTGATCCTGACTTTGCGTTTCTGCCACCATTTCCATTTATGCATGTTCTAGTCCATCGCTATCATCATTTCCCTTGTTGTTTTGTCGGAGTGAAGAGTTGTCTCCTACATTCACCACTTGAGATACGGGATTCTTAGAGTTTTGGAACTTCGCTTCAAGTGCTTCGACGTTTTCCTCTTCCTCACCTTGGGCCCTTAAGGATTTTGGACACAATTCCTCAAGATTATTGCTTTCTCTCCTCATTGGGCCACTATCAATTGATTTCTACTTGAGCCTGTTGAAAACAACTTTTTCAGCCAGATTCAGCTCACGTATAAGATCCTCTACACTTTTTTAGACTAGTCTTTCCTTTGCCACGTGCGTTCATTTTAGTTTTCTCTTTAGTAATGCCACGTGAATCTATGACCAAGCTAGTTTGAATGATCTTATGTTTTTTTTTCTATTTCCGCATATCCCTCTTATTATGATCCACTTGCTTAATGATAAGCTTTCCACTATCATTCTCTTTGTCTTTGTCACACATATGCTCCACATGCTTCAAGTTGTTCTTTTCTTTGCCTTCCTCTTTTTCATCCATGATCTCCTTAGTTGTATTGCAAGTAATGCTCTTTACATCCTCAAATTTTTTTCTAGTTTCATCTTCATCTAGGTCAGTCTCATACTCTGTTGAGAGTGCTACAAACTAGGAACCCTTTGTCACCCTGATTGAATTCCTTTCGCTCTAGCCCCCCGACTCTCTGCTTTATTTCACCATCTCTTTTTTAACCCGTTCTTCCACTGCTATTATGCTCCGTGGGCGTTTATGTTTCTGAAACATAGACCAAGGTCCTACACTCACAAATGTAGTTTCTTTGTGGGCTTTTCCTTTGTTCGTTCTAGCCGACTGCTCGATACCTTCCCCATCCACTTCTACTTGCAGTTTCCCCACACAACTTGCATTATAGTTCCCAAATCGACCACAAGCTAGACATAATAAATGCAGTCGTTCATACTCGACCTTGTAATGACAACCTTTTATCGAAAACATACTCAACAACAGTTTCGTTAAGTAAACTTGTATGCAAGCATGAGCATACTTTCCTCGTTCCTTGGATAATGTATTTTTATCGACTTCCATTGTCTTCCCAATTCGGTTGCCAATGAATTTCAGCACTCGATGGAAAGTCTGTATATTCGAACCCACACCGCAATCTACTCAACAACTTCACTATTTGGGTTGAAGTTGGCACTTTATTCCCTAAACGAAAGGTAGTTATCGTAGATCAACCAAGGTCATTCAACCAGAGCGTGCGTCTTTTCCTCTGAACTGGTGAATGTTACAAGATAATACTCTTGACCAAGGTCCACGATATGTAAGATTCCACGCCTCGCCTACAATTGTTGCAACCTGTTTTCTAGGGCTTTATACCTCATTCTTCTACCAAACATCTTGACACTGACTCCCCTTCTCCAAGGTTGCATTATTCTACCTTCTTCCTTCTCGAATAGTATGACTTCAGGACAATGATACTCACTATACTTCCTTTCTTCAATCATCAACCCTTATGTGTCCTCTTCCTCTAGTTCTTGTTGCCTTCTTTGATTTTCTTCTTCCACATTTTCATTCGATTGACCTATCATCACGTTCTTGTGCGATAAAGTTACCCTTTCAATCACTTCTTCTACCGAGTCTTCCGTCCATGCCATGTTCAAATTAGAGAACGATGATTTCTTGGTGCTACGCTCTTTCAAGTTTTCTTCATCAGAATGATTGTTGTGGTTTGCAGAAGCAAACCTCAACAAGGGGATGCTCATCTCCCTAACCCTTGAATCTAATGTTAACACTTAATTTCACACTTTTGTCAAAACTAAAACTAATTTTCGATTTATGAATAATAGAAATCATAAATAAATAAAACGTAATACTATTTATTATAAAATAATTTGAAAGAAAAAAGACAAAATTGTACATACGTGACTATGTCATTATTTTAAGAGATAATTTATAATTTATTATAAATTTAATTTCTCTTTTTAATAGAAATGATAAGGTAGGGGTGATAATTGAGATTTATTATTATCATATTTGTTTTCATTTTTTCTTACAAATAAGTATTTTTCATAAATAAATATTTAAAACATAAAAGTACTCATGGCATTGGTTCAATTCAATTTGAAATTAAGCTTCGCCGTGCAGCGTGTTTCTCTGAGAATAACTCCGATGGGTATGATCACCGTCATGGTTTCACCACCACCACCCCTCAGGTAACCTCCGTTCACTCTCATTCACAAATCACACATCTTCCCCTTTTCCCTCTCTTCAACAATCCTCCATTTCCCAACTTTTCACCCTCTCTCACTCTCTCTCTGCTACTTTACGTTACATTTCAACTTCAATTAGGTTATAACAAGCGTGGTTCCTGTTATTACTTTGACTCACTTTCTTTTTTTCTCTGTAAAAGCTCTTTCTTATCACAATTCACATGCACTTTCAATTTTTCTAAAAGCAGTTTTTTTTAATTTTAAAATCAATTAGTACCAAAATGGAATCACACACTTTCTTTGGCGTACATTACACACAGAAAAAGAAAGATTGAAACTTTGATTGTGACTCTTCGTCTGACCACACTGCACTATTTTCAAAAAAATTCCCCTTTCTTATCGTCCTCTTATGTACACTACAATACAAAACAAACCCACATTTTTTTCATCTTCAAAATCCATTTTTTGTCTGCAATTCTAGTACCCTTTTACTCAAGATTCCCTTTTTCCCCTTTCATTCATCTCAATTTTCACAACTGTCAATTGGGTTCATTTGTTTTTGTCAATGAGGAATTCTTTTATGTGTATTTGTTTTATGGATTTGTAACTGCTTGGTTGGTGATGAACAAATACTTTTGTTTTGAAAGTGTTGCTTAGTGAAAAATCTTTTTGTGTTGTTTACTGTTTTAGTTGTGGCAGTTATGGGTGGTGAGGGTAGAGTTGAGATTGTGAGTGGTAAAGGGTGCTCGAGGTTGTTTTCGTCTTCGTTTACTTCAATCAGAGGTCTTCAGCCATTGGATCAAATGTCTCCTGTTTCGTCGTCTCCGCAAGTGTCATCAACTGCTCCTTTTGCTGGTCTTGTTATATGTGTTACTGGTTTATCTAAAGGTGTGGATTCATTTCATATACTCGTTATTTCGTCTTTGCTCGTATTTTTCTTATTTGACGTCCAAGTCATTGGTTAAACTCTATGAAATTTCTTTCAAGCTTTTTCTTTTTGTTTTTAGATTGGTGATAATAAACACTGAGAAATTTGAAGAAGGAGTTGAGAAATGAAAGTGATTTTATTTGCATTATCTATTTTATTGATAATAATTAGTATATATATTTTATGAAATCTAGCTTTCTCTACCTCTTCGGTTTTGCTTTGTCTTCTAATAATAATAAAATGTTCAGATGGTAGAGGTTGAAAAGGTGTATTTATTTAGAGATATGGAACTGATAAGAGATATTCATACCGTGATGTTGATATTTTTTTGAATTGGTGTTTTGGCAGAAGCAAGGAATCAGGTTATGGAGGCTACAGAGAGATTAGGTGGCCAGTATAGCCCCAATCTGCATCCTCAATGTACTCATTTGGTGGTTCAGATATCCTTTTCTTCTAAATTTTCCTGCATAATAATCGCAGAAGCATGATGCTGTAATAGGAAGTTGTGATTTTTGTATACTGTCATGTACACTGGAAAAAATTCTGCCAAATCCTGGAAATTGTTTTCTTATCTTTCTTGTTTATGGGGGAGAAGAAATTTCAGTATCAAAGTATTGTTTAACAGTGGCTATAGCAGCACTATCGCATAGCGGAATTTGAAAAAATAACTATTTTTCTGTGATATGCTATTTAGTAAAAAAATATTGTGAACTAACTGTGCTATAGCCCAACTGCATAGTGGAATTTGAACAAACTGTTATTTTCTTTGATCCACAATTGACACCATTGCTTTATCTATATTTATTTGTACTATGTTAATGAATATATTATTATTTTATACTCAGAGTGGATCACTCATGAATCATGACCATGATTGTTGTTTTCCATCCACTTTCCGCATCATGGATATTTCTGTAGTACTTGTGTTAGTTGGTTCAGTGTCATCATGAAATCTTTAACATTTAGCACAACTTCAGTGGATGCAAATTTGAGCATGCGCGGAAGCATGGAGGAAAAAATGGTCTCTTTGTTGTCACACTGGGTTGGTTTGTGGATAGTGTCAGGAAAAATGGTAATTGAGTTCATTTAATTTCTATTTACATTTTATTTTATTCTTATTTTGGTTATCTTTATTGGTGGTTGTAATTTAGCTGTTGTGATATGAAGTCATGCATATTACAGTAACCTGACACAGCTTCTTATGTTTTCTTATGTTTTAATCCTTCTCACCTATACATTTTTGTTGTTATTACAGTCCATGGTGCAGTTTATGGTGATATTAGTTATTGTTAAGACCTGAATGCATTTTCTTTTTGTCTGCGACAGTAAGGTTGACCGAATCACTTTATAGTCTGAAGAGCTATGGAGATAACAATATGCACTTGGATGATTTTAGACAGCTTAAAGGGTATACAAATACTGGAAATTGTCTTCCTGCAAGAATCCATGAAACAAAGCATTCTCATCGTGCTGAAGAATTTCTAAGATTCTCCGATAAAGAAGAGTCTAACAGAAATTTGGACTCAACTTTGTCTGGTTGCTCCATCTATGTTGATCCACACATTTCAACCGAATTGCAGAAAAAGGTAAAATTCATGTGAACTAACAATAAATATCTAGCATTTTGTAACAGTATAGTTTCCTCTGTTTCAGTTAGGTTAGCGTATGATTCAAGATTTCTTAGATGACACATTTACATGCTTTACATATTGAATAGGTTGTCGAGTCTGCCTCAAGAGAAGGTGCTAGTTTGGTGGAACAATGGTTTGTTGGTTGCAATGTTAGTCATGTAGTGACTGAAGGGACATCCATCCAAAGATATATCGGATACTCTAGTAACCTCATTACTGTGAGTGCTTCTACATTGTCATTTAATGTCTATTTAGACATTGAGAATAACCTTTTCGAGACATAGAACATTTAGAGACTTAATGTTATTATTAATATAATCCGATAAGTAGGCCTATGTACCATATTGTTTATATCACAATGATGTCTTTTTGATGTATGATATGTCTCAGCCACTATGGATTCTCAAAACAGCTAAGGAGAAACAAGTGCAAAGGCTTGTTAACATGTCTGTTGATTTGGCAAGACAAGTTGGCTTGATGCTCGAAGACGTTCATAATGGCCTTTCAGGAAAGGTAATTTCTCATTACATTCCTTTACAATTTTCAAATTCATATTTTTTTTCTATTGCATTTCTGGCTTAGCAAAGCATTTTTCTATGTGCCCCCTTTTTCCTGGAGTTGTGATATGAATTTCATTGACATGATAACAGGAAGCAGTAAAGCAAAAAGTCCACGATGAACTTCAAGCCGGTAAAAGTGATATTGGTTACGAAGATAGACAACAAATTGTAAATTTGGCAAAAAATGGTGTCAGAAGTCGCCGTGGTCGTCGTATGCAGGTCAGTCTTGAGATTAAAGCATTTTAACTGAGCACGAACATCCCTCTTTAGTTTGTTATCCTTTTTAAATAAATACTAAGAGTTAAAGATATGGGTCAAATGCTTATTTAGTTTCAACATTACATTGCAGACATGTCAGACACCGATACGGCCGATAACACCTAACAACCTTCTAGACTCTATCTGCTGGTCAATATCAGAGGCAACTTCAACTGCTTCCATTTACACAGACTCTTTCAGCGCTGAAGATCCTAATGATAATCATACTTCAATATTTTTTGATGCAAAAGGGGATGCAAAGGATTCAGACGCATCATTTTCAAACTCCACGCGTTCTCTAACAGAAAGGTCGTTATCAATTCTATGGCCTAAAGCATCTTTTCCTAATGTAGTAAATATGACTTATTATCATCTCGTTTGTGGCTTTTTGCAGTGAGAAATCTGAGTTGGTATTTAAAAATCATTTTCTCACCATACTCTTCCCAGTCGACCGGTTTTCCGAGATCGGCCCTTCCTCAAGGACATTTTTCAACATTAACGGTTTCACATGTCTCCAGGTGTTGGATCATATACATGCATTTTATCAGGTACAAGAAAAATTAGTAAGCCTTTTCGACATTTTATTACAATTGGGTTTATATTGTTTATGTGCTCTCATTCATCTAGAACTGCCACTAATGAGCTAATGGGTGGGGCGATCTTTGTGATAGGAGAACATGTCAAGCCATGAAATAGAAGTGGCGATTCATACAGATTCAAGACACGCAGATAAGCTTCGATCAGTGTACTCGAGTAAGGAAACAGCGGAGCGTGGATACGTGGTGTTCAAACGAACTGAATTTTTGGGGAGTCGTACAAGTTTTGAAATGTTGAAGCGCGTGAGTGGAGATAACAACTCCAATGTGTATGAGTTATTACTTAGGGCGTAAGGTACATTAGAAGCCACAAATTGAGTTTTTAGCATCATCTGTATTATACCAGAATTGTATCTGTAACATTAATGGTGGAATAGAGTGTCCAAAATGGGAACTCTGAATACAAAAAATGGGAGATTGGCGAAATAGGAAAAGCAGTAACTTAGAGCCCAAGTTTTAGAAAAGTTATCTATTAAAAGATGGATACTTGAAGATCAACTACTCACCCAAGTCTTAAAAAGAGATTTTAATTTTCATTTTTATGCTGAAGTTTACACAAAAATTTGCTAGAAACTAGTTCAAGTTGTAAATCATTTTTTTAACGATGAGTTGTTAAAGGGTCTGTTTGTTTCAGCTTTAAAAAAGTTGATTTTTCTTTGTATTTTTGAAAATAGTTTTTTATAAAACCGTTTTTCAAAATATTATAAGTTTTTTTATATTTGTTTTTTTAAATTGAATATTAATTTTGATATCCTATAATATAAACATACATTATTAAAGTCTAAAATATAGTCAAAATCTTAATTTTTTCAAAAAGTTGTATTTCAAAAATGATTTTTATGAAAATCTATTTGAAATAGCTTCAAAATTAAGTGATTTTTTAAAATTTTGATATCTAAAATTTTTTTCAATAAAATGAAATACTTAAAATAGTATTTTAAGAATAAGTATACAAACCAAATTTTTATTTGAAACTTTTATGAAAAATTTCTTTATAAAATTTTTTTTATAGGCAAATTTATTTAACACTATAAAAATCAATTTAAAGAAAAAAGTTAAAACAAACGGGCTCGAAAACCACTTGAACTATTGATTTTCATTGTTCCAATTTTCATGCTTTTGGTAACAAGTGTCGATCTTTATTTAGGAGAATTTCTTTTTACAAGTAGTCTTCTTGTAAGTCTTGTAAAAAAATCTAAAATACTCTCAAAATTGATGTGCATATTTGAACGAACTAAATTTTAATTTTTTAAATGTATTTTCAGATATGCATATCTGAAATAACTTAATATTTCATTTTCAAAGAGTTTTTGGATATGCATATCTGTTGTACTCCAAAATTTTCCTTCTCATTTCTCAAGGATTCCCTCACAAGATCTTTTATGGCGTCAATTTTACAACACTCATACATCAATTTAGGCTTGGAATTAGCACAAGAGCAAAATAGTCAATTGCATATTAGAAAGTCGAACTTTGACTTTTTGGTCAACATTACATTCCAAAGATCAAATTTCATCAAGACATTCAAGAATATCAAGTTTGATCATCAAGAAGTCAAGAAAGTCAAAAGTCAACTTGAAAAGTCAAGATTTCCAAGATTTAAAAATTTCCTAAGTGTTTTTATACGTGATAATTTTATTACTTCATGCCATTCTTTCACCAAGATGCAAGACAATTCAAGGAA